AATCCACCCGACTCGGCCTCCAAGAGTGCTAGGATTACAGGCGTGAGCCACCACGCCCGGCCTACTTGACTCTTTCTCTTTATTTACTAGTTTCAAAATAGTGGGTTGGTTCCCTGGCATCCTATAAAGGTGACCAATTAGCTTTTTTTTTGTTTGTTTTTTAAAACACATTGCCACTCTAGAAAAAAAATTTTTTTCCTTGCGGCCACAGTGTTTTATTATGAAAATAGAATGAAAACTTTGAAAACAAAATGATCCTTTTTCATTTAATGAAAAATTTGTTATTTTTTTATTGTTTTCTGTGCGTGAGTTAAATGCAACTTGAAAAATAGTTTTCATGGCTTCCAAGGTAAAGAGATGTGTGAGTTACATATACTTCACAAGGCCCTGGGCTCAAAACTAGCGTGAGTTAAATACAACTCACATGGCAGTTGGTGTGGTAAAGGTTATTTTGAACTCACAGATTTAAATAGATTTGCGTTTGAAACGTTTGCAGTTTGTTTTTATGGATGCTCAGCTTGTCCCATCTGAAGTGAGAACCTTTTCAAGTTCCTGAATTCTTTTGGCATTATTTCTTGATAATTTTCTTGCTTTTTGGTATTGCAAAATCTTTCAGGCTCATCTTGTACGTTTCCTGTCCTATACCTGGAAATGACCATTCCTCCAAAGACTGCTTCCTTTTAGTGGGAAATAATATTTAAAGACTATAGTTTGGGCACAGGGATCCTCTTTGCTATTGATTTGGTCATCATTTCTAGACTATTTCAATGAATGGAGCTAGGAAATTTGTTTTTCCTGAGAATTTAGGAGTTTACACTGAAATTTCTAATTCACATATAGATTATAGAGTTCTTAGATTTCAGATTTGTGCCTTATAATAAAAGGCTTGGATTCTCATGGCATTAATATAATTATTTGCTACTTATATATGTATAATAGTTTCAGACTAATAATGCAAATATTTTTCATACTAACGTGATTACTAAGAACAGCTTAAGCTTTTTTTGGCAGGTATTTTTGTTTTGTTTTTATGATATATTCTGCTAAGGATATATAGTCAAATTACTAGTTTTAAAGTCACTTTTTGTAATTCATCCCATAGTTCAACCATAGTTGATTATGCTACCAAGTTGATAGACAGATTTATTTAATTTTGCTTTTGCTTTTTGTAAAGTACTTTTTAAAAGTTAATTTTCTTTTAAAATAATATAAAAATATTGACATGGTTTAAAATAAAATATATAAAACCAAGGTATTTTCAGAGAAATCTAGCTTCTTTCCCTGTTTTACTCTCCCTTGTTAGTGAACCAGATGTTTTTGGGTTTTCTTTCCATTTAAAAAAAGCAAATATGCATATAAGCAAATATGCATGAATGTGTATTTGTATTCCCTCTCCACTTTCTTAAATAAAAGGTAGTCTACTATATGGAGTGATTCCCATTGGTATAGAGTGATGTCCAGAATACAGACAAGGTATACCTTCTTTTACTCAATATATCCTGAATTTTGCTTTATCCTGGATATCACTCTATAGTGATGGGAATCACTCCATAGCATATCGGGATTTTTAAAAATCTCAGCTGTATAGTTTTAATGACTGCATGGATATACTGTAGTTTAACCTATCTTAAGTTAATATTTATATTTCTTTATTTTTAAGAAATGCTGACATTCTTTTGTAATACAAGTACAGATTAACACAGTTCTTTATTATTGTATCTGTTTGATTTCTATAGTTATCATCAAATCTTGTAACCCAGTGGTGTTTAGTTTTTACAACTACCTTCGAACTCATCCTTTGCTTATTCGAAGAAACCTTGCCTCCCCTGAAGGAACTTTGGCAACCTTAGGTCTCAAAACTGAGAAAAACTTTGTTGATAAAATTAACCTCATAGAAAGAAAATTATTCTTTACCACTGCAAATGCTCATTTTAAAGTTGGATGCCCTGTTTTAGCCTTGGAGGTACTCTCCAAAATTCCAAAAGTAACCAAAACATCTGCCTTACCTGCAAAAAAAGATCAGCCTGACTTCATTTCTAAAAAGATGGCTGATACACCTTCACAGTCAAAAGCTCTGAGTGATGGCAATGGAAGTTCTAGTATTGACTGGTCAAATGTAACTTCATCACAGTATGACTGGAGTCAGCCAATAGTAAAAGTCGATGAGGAACCTCTTACTCTTGATTGGGGTGAAGATCATGATAGTGCCTTAGATGAAGAGGAAGAAGATGCTGGTGGTTTGGTAATGAAAAGTACAGATGCCAGGGGAAAAGATAGACAAGAAGATCAGAAGTCCTTAGACCCTAATACGTTATTGACGCCTCAGGAAGAGGATTGCCTTGAAGGTGATACTGAAGTTGATGTGATTGCTGAACAACTAAAATTCAGAGCTTGTTTAAAGATCCTTATGACTGAGCTAAGAACATTGGCTACAGGTTATGAAGTGGATGGAGGAAAACTCAGATTTCAACTCTATAACTGGCTTGAAAAGGAAATTGCTGCCTTGCATGATATATGTAATCATGAATCAGTTATTAAAGAATATTCCAGTAAAACATATTCCAAAGTAGAGAGTGATCTTCTAGATCATGAAGAAATGGTGGACAAACCAGACATTGGTTCCTATGAGCGCCACCAAATAGAGAGACGAAGATTGCAGGCTAAACGAGAACATGCAGAAAGACGAAAGTTGTGGTTGCAGAAAAACCAAGATCTCCTGAGAGTGTTTCTTAGTTATTGTAGCCTTCATGGGGCCCAGGGTGGTGGTCTGGCCTCAGTAAGGATGGAACTCAAATTTTTACTACAAGAATCACAGCAGGTATGAACACCACTTTTGTTTTCAATCTTGGTTATTTCAGTAGCTCTTCCAATTATAGCTATAAAGTTCTTTTTACTAGTTAATCTAAACATGTCGATATTGTCTGTTTGTAGGAGGCAGATATTTGCAGTCTGTGTGAGTCATCTTATTTTTTTTTTTTTTTGCCAACTTAAAATGAAAATGTTTATATAAATTAACCCATCCCATTTAAAGTAGATTTGCTATGTTTAACTTAATTTTGAAGAAGAAAGAATATATACTTCCCATATTAATAAATCACATCAAGTAAGTAGGAAGTTTCAATAACAAGCCTGTTAATACACTGAAACCCCTTTTTATATTAAAAGTTGAAATGAAAGACAAATCCAGATTGAACATAGTTGATTGCAAAATATGATGCAATTTTGAACATTTAAAATTATGAAAATATACAAAATTGATGGGCAACACAACTAAGCATTTATACATTTTCCATTGTGTGGGGAACACTAAAAATTTCTCTACTTTTTATCCACATCAGATAAATGATTTAAACCAAACGTTTGCCTTGGAAAGTCTTAACTTAGGATCTCAGTAGTATAAAAAGCAATAATTTTTCAGTCTGTAAACAGTAGTTGTGTTTTTTCTCCTTTCCTTCTTTTTTAAATATCAATTTTTACCATACAAAAACAAAACCAAAAAACCCATACAAACCCAAAACAGCAGCATATGTAAGTGTTCTTAGACTGAAGCTTCGGTAATTAGAAGCAGGCTTACAAGCTTGAGCGCATACTGTGTCTTGAGCATCTTCGTATCTTCTGCATCCAGCATAGTACCTGGTACATACTGGCTGCTCGATAAATTTCTGTAAAATGAGTGAGTAAGTAATTGAATATATTGTTTTTACACAAGTATTTATCACCAGTATTTTTATCAGATAACTGTTGGAGTTTTTTTCCCTTCATTTTGAACTACTTTGAAAAAAATAATTCACTGTCACCCACAGGAAACTACAGTAAAGCAGCTCCAGTCTCCACTACCATTGCCTACCACCCTGCCTCTGCTTTCAGCAAGTATTGCTTCGACAAAAACAGTCATAGCTAATCCTGTATTGTACTTAAATAATCACATCCATGATATACTTTATACTATTGTTCAGATGAAAACACCACCTCATCCCAGTATTGAAGACGTGAAGGTAATGTAAAGTTTATGATTGTTTGATATTGTACACACTGAGAAGGTAACTATGTTATACTTGTCTTCTAATTTGAACTTAGAGGAAATATTTTAAAGTGCTCTTAGGTGCTACCTTTCTCATTCCTGATGAGTCAGTTCAAAACTATTTGTCCAATGAGTGTAATTTAAAAATAAGCATTCTTCTTATTTCTGGAAAATTTATTGTGTTCCTTTAAGATAGGTAAATACCTTTTTGGTAATAAAACTAATTTTCTAGACAGTATTCTTTCCACTTAATATTCATTTAGACCTTCTATTCCCCTTAATGAACCTTTAGGTTAGAAACATTTATGACTGTTTACATGCCAAGATAATATGAAGATATAAGTTGGGGAGTACGTGGGAGGGAGCCATGGTTGATCAGAAATCGTCCCAGAGAAAGTATCCTCATTACTGTTTCCTTGATGATTGTGCTTATTGGAGGCTGTGCAATCGTTAGAAGCAATCAGAGTTTTGGAAGAGTTAACACCCCACATTAAACCTATACCCTATGCTGAGATATGAAAAATTGATACATTCTGAAAAGCACTAGGATAAGACTTGCACTGTGCCAGCGTAAGTGTACTTATGGTATGCTTTTTCCAATTCTAGTGGCTGAGCACATTTCAGGTCCCCAATATTCTTATTTTTTACTTGTTTTGTTTGACAGACAGGTTTTATCTCTGGTAGTACATTTTTCTGAAGGCCTAGTCACATCAACCTATTAGGAACTTCTCATCCATAGTGCGAATTAATCTATATCGGTATTTTAAGCAGGGATTTACTGGTCACATCAGTCCATTAGAGACTTCTAATCTATATTCGTGCTTCTAATCCATGGTGTAGATTAATCTATATCAGTATTTTCACAGAGATTACTTAAATTGTTTCTTAGATGAATGTAGAAATGTATATATGGATATGCATATAAATTCTAAGTAAACATTTCTAGTTCCTAGAAATTTAAATAAGGCTTTCAAAGAGTAATCTGGATAAGGCTTCCAAAGAACATGAAACTATTTCTAAGGTACTTGCAAATTTTAAGATTTTATGAGTCTGAAAATGTTGCTTCAGTATGATTCAGTAAACTTCAGGTTGTAGTTTTTATATTACATGGGTAAATTTTAAACTTTCTAAATGTAAAATTCTAAGATTATCCCTTCTCAATGAATAGCAAGTAAATTACTTGCTTTCTGGAAAATCAGCCATTTCATACAGTGATTGATATATTTACTAAACAGATTTAAGTCATTCTTGTTGATAAGTTTAAGTCTTTATTTTCATCAAAGGGAATTTCGTAAGGCAAGCTTAAATAAAAGCTCTGAAAATTCTACACTTATTTTGGTTTTGCTTTTTTGAATATTACTATTTAAGCTAATTGTTAGTAGGCTAGGACAAGACCCAGTAATACCAGCATTGGCACTTTGCTCAGGGCCTGGTAAATGGCAGGCTCACAGCAAGTAAATATTGATAAAGATGTGTCTGAAACAATCAGCTTTGTTGTGGGCGTGCAAATAAAGGTGGGTGAGAGTCATTTTAGAAGTTCTAAAGCAGAGTTAGTACTTTCATATAGGATCCGGTCTTATTTATAATATTGCTAGTTTCCTGGGTATTTTCTGATTTTTAAGATATTGCTGTTATGTAGAAATGTTAGTATAAAATGTAATTGTGGCTGTTTTGGTTTTAGGTGCACACACTTCATTCACTAGCAGCATCACTTTCTGCATCAATTTACCAAGCATTATGTGACAGTCATAGCTACAGGTAAAA